GGGAGGCTATAGCTTTTGGACTCATCTCATTTATTCAAAATGGAAAAAGTCCTTAGATGGAGGTAATGTAATGGAAGGTCTTACATCGCAGGTTTTGTTTGTCTTGGTGGTTTTCCTCATTTAATCCACTTCACTGTCCCCGCTACAAACTGATAAGTGATTCAAGTTCGTTTTGAAAGCCCTTTTCTCAGCTAAATGTGAAACATCATCATCATTATCATAGTAAGAAGAGGCAGCACTAAGCTGATTTACTAAAAGAAATACAACTGTATTTTCATATGTTCTCTCCAGTGTAAACCATAAACTGGTAATGCAACACTTAATCTCTTTTGTTTTTCAGTAATTGACTGAGGTTAGTATATCAATGTACTCTGGAGGTTCTGGTCTGATCTAAACTATGACTAAAGTTTTGATGACATTTATTGTAAATTTTAAGTTACACCTTAATGTATGTGGCAGATTGATTGGCAAAGATGGACAAGATTGACATTTACGCTTTTACTGTTTGTACGGTAATCTTTTGAAAGACAAATTGTAGAAATGTGAACATGTGTGTCACGGTGTGGTGCACTTCCTGTCTTATTTTGTAGTTTTCTGCCACTCGTGTCCGTGGGTAACTTCACTTCCGGTCTGGTCCTGTCATCCCCTGTGATTGTGTGTGTGTGTGTGTGTGTGTGTGTGTGTGTGTGTGTGTGTGTGTGTGTGTGTGTGTGTGTGTGTCCCGTGACCCCGCCCGCCCGTTGGCCTTTTACTTTGTTGGAGTTTTTGACTATTAAAGTATTTTGCGTTAAAGTCTGCATTTGAGTCCTGCCTTTCTACCTGCTACCCTGACAATGTGTGTCCGTGCAGTGCTGAAGGAGTTACATTGCCGTCTTCCTACAGCTCGATATTCCTGTCGATTGGGCCAAAAATTCACCTTCACCTAACAATGAAAATCTTCTCCTGAGATGCAGCGTGGAAAGGATCTTTTAGAGTGATTTATCCAGCGTCGGCTGTGATGTCATCACCCGCTGCATCCATGGCAGTCAGAAGGGTCATCAGTGTATGGTGTTCATATACTTTCCATCTCCATGCTGAGAACAATTCCTCAATGGGGAGTAGGGTGAGAGGAACTTGATTGCCTGATGACGGAAACATTGACATTGTCCCAAACTATCACATACTTTGAAAAGTCATCTCTAATCAGACCCTCTCTTGTTCAGGGATGAGATCCCTGTAGAGTGTGTAAAAAGATGACAAGACTCTGTATTGTGTGGCCCAAAATGTGTTCTTCTTCTTTGCATGTAAAGATTTATGCGATGAACTAATGCCTAATGCCCCGGGTGGTGTTGCTGTGCCCAGTTTGGCAGCTTCATCTGGATTCCCATGCAGACACATGTCCCCTACCCTCCTAACCCTCTGGACAACTGGCTGTCACCCGGGCGATTCCGCCACACAAACCGTGTCCCCAAAGCATCCGCATGAGTCAAACTGATAACTTGCACAGTTCATGGAGTGTGTATCTGGTACGTTGGAAGAGGAAGTGAATTACTTGTTCTGCCCTCCGGTTGTGTTTCCATGTGGTAAACTTCAATGCTGCTGATCTGTCAGCCTCATATATAATCCGGTAAATAGTGCAATTTCAGCCCCAGCGGCTCCCCTCTGTCAAATTCAACTTGGATCAGCGTTTGCAGTGGTGGATCCAAGTGGAGTCAGACTATAAACGCAAAGGAAGTCGGGTCCACTCATGGACATGTGTGGACAACACTCCACACGTGTCAAATATCAAAATATCAATTTAAGATTTGTTTCAATATGTCTGGAGACGACAATAGGGGAGGTTTATTTAAGAGTTTAGGTGGGACGTGTCACGCTTTAGACTAAAGAAAGATGCTTTTTGTCTGGAACCATAAAGTTTAATTTGCTGCTAAATTGATAAAAACAGATTCTATATTTTGTTGTTTTGCGGTTTTGGCGTCGGTAAAGCCGATGTTAACCACAAGCACTGACCTTCAGCATGAAAATGAAATGACATCCGTCCATTAGCTAACAGAACAGACCGGCCCAGGTCAGAAGGCAGAGGAGAGAAAAAAAAGGAAGGAAGGAAGGAAGGAAGGAAGGAAGGCCACTGCAAAAATACAGAAAAAACAACAACTGGGAAACTTCAATAAATACTTTTGTTGTCTGGAAGTTGTACAATGAGGGAAAAACGCTAGACTGTTAAAGTAAAATGTAGAAAATTGGACTACGCGCTTCCAGTTTCTAAAGGCTAACATCAGCAAGCAGAATCCCAATGAAAGGGCCACTGTTTAGTTAGCATCAAGTTACCAGCATGGGCGTGTTTGCATGCTACCATGTTGCTTTTATCACTAAAGTAGAGCTGAACCCGGATGTGAATGAGACTGTTTTTGGTTTTAGTTTAAAATGAAACAAGAAAATTAACTGCCACATGAAAGGTTAGCAAAGTTCTGAGGGTCACATGAAATCCATCCAATCCCTGTGGAAAAACCACAAAGGTCAAGCCTCATGGTGGCGCTTGAGGAGTCAGGGCATCGCCAACGTCATTGGCCCCCGCGTCCCGAATGAATGCCTCCATCCAATCTCCTGGCAATCCATCAAATAGTTATTGAGATTCAGTATTTCAGTCAGCACCAAAGCGCCGGGCCGCCGGGCCGTCAGGCGGATCCACGACGCTAGCATTGATTAAAACAAAAGCACGACGAGTGACTGTGAGGAGAGAAATAATAACACACTGGCAATAAATATGACCTTCAAACCAAGCACAAGAAGTGCTCCTTCCCCAGCGAACCACGGGGAGGCGGCCCACCCTGTGTGATGACCCGGGCCAGGAGCGCTCTGCAGCGGTTAGCTGTACTTTATGGTACACGTGCATCGTTGGTGTTCGCAGTTTTGCTGACAAATCATGTACTCGCCTCCCTACTGCGGTGCCCCTTCCTCCCCCAGGCGTGCCGCTCTCACCCACAAGTCGCTTAACCCCCCGAGCTTCCAATAAAAAATAATTTGTCCTCTGGGGAAATCAAGCCAACTGTAGCGGCACCAACTCCCAAGTATCCCATTGTGCGTTCTGTGTACTCCTCGCCGCTCATTCCCTTCCCCCTCACGCCGAATCCCAACTATTTCTTCCTCCCTGCCCCCCACCTGCCCCCTCGTTACAGACGAATGAGCAGCTGCAAAAAGGGCCCTTCGACAATACGGTTATCGTGCGCGCTGGTCATTTGTATGGAGGGGTGCATGATCCCCACTCACAGGCGCCCAAATTCAATAGCATAGCTTTTAGTGTCGTAGCGAAACCATCATCTCTCTCTTCCGATTACCACTTGGTTCAGAGGAAGCTATTTTTGAACTGGTTCTATGAGTGAACGCCTTTCCACGTTCTCGCCTTCTGGGATGATTTGGGATCAATTAACGTTGGAGTGGAATGACTTGTGATCTGGTTTCATGTATCAGTCTGGTGCATTAGCGTTGAACAACGACAAGGGGAATCAATGAGTCTGCCATTATCATAACGGCTATCCATAACTTGTATCATTACAGCCGCTGATGTGGAGGGAGCGGGCCGGTGCTCATGTGGTGTAATCGCCCCCCCCCCGGGGTGATGGATTAGTAAAAACACTTGAGAACAAGCTGTCAAATGATGAAGTCTTTACGTACTCAGATCCACATTAGAAATGTTTGAATGGGAGTGTTGAGAGAACTATTCCACACAAGGCAAAGAATCTTTTTCTGGAGCCTTTTTATCACATCACATGATCTTCATACACTGAAGTACATATTGTCATTGTGCGTGTTGGTTATCCGAGGGGTTTCTTTCCTTCCAAGGTCCAGTTTTTTTAAAACCGCCTCCTTAAATCAGGAAATTGTCAGCCTATTAGCGATGGAATGATGCCTTTTCTGGTTTGCGGCGATTGTATGAGTCTTTGTGAGTGTACCGTGTGAGTGACAGGGACTGCTGTTCCCCCCTAGACAGACTTCCTACTGGGCACAAGAAATGACTATTGTCACCTATGTCCTATTGTGGACACCTACGAGGACCAGGTGCATGCTGGGTGTGGCCGATTGGTGGATGCTAATAAGCCAACGGCCGCCATCATACAGGAGAAACGCGGACGGGACGGAGGACGACGCCAGACCAACGGGCCTGCAACGGATAGCGCAGACGCCAGCACACCTTCGTCACCGGGCGCCGCAGTCATTGAGCCACGAGGCATTAAAGCCCAGAATACCAGACTGTTACTAATTATCGCTCCTGGATTTGAACAGAACTTTGGCCGCACAGCGAAAGGACTCCTGCTGACGGACAGTCTGTAATTGGACTATTCCTGACGGACGCGTGACTGATTGGAAGACTGCAATTTTAAAATATAAATGAGTCTTACGTTATACCATAAATAAAAGTATTTTGTACAGATCTTTCCGTGTTCCGGCATGGCCTGGAGCCACGCGGCTGCCAAAATGATGCAAATCTAATTAAAGGGAGCTGTGTGCAGATGCATTTGATTTGTAGCCTCTATCTAGATGTTGTGGTTGAGTGCAGCACAACTAAAACGGTAGTTCTTTTACAAAAACGAGTGCATTAACATAATAATGCAGTTTGCATATAGATGGCTGAATGACAAAATCCTTTTTGAAAAAAAAGGTTTGAATGGTTAGTTAGGAATGATATATTTGTTTAGAAATGGCCAATGATCTATGACTGCATGCGTGATCTCACATGTGGTGCTTTTAATTTGCTTCGCTCTAACTGTGGAGATATGGATTCAAATGCGTTTGAGGATTAGCTGTCCTCTGCTGCCCCCCAGTTTTACACCTTAGACATTACATCCACTCACCTCATTCAACCACTTTATACTGTTGTACAAAGTGCTACAACCTTCTCATTTAAAATGCATGCAGTTGTGTACAATATTGTTGCCTACAAGGGGATAGCAAAAAGCTGATCTTGACCCTTTTCTACTCTGACAGCAGAATAGTTGCATTGCATCTAAATAAAAAAACAGTAATAAGCCAAATTTCTTTAATTGAATCACCACTATAAGAAAGGCAGTGCTGGCATTAGGGAAACAGACAGCAAGCAGACATGACAGTCGGTTCCATCAGCAATAGGACTTAAACACGGCTGCATCTACTCCACATGTTGGTTCAACACAGAGCAAATACACGAATCCACCCAAGTGGTAAATACTCTAAAACAGTATTTAAAGGCTGGAAAAGTGTGAACATTTTAGTGAGTGGCTGAAGCTGACCTGCGTGAACATGCTTCTCTCCACAATGAAGGAATCGAGACAAGCGAATACCTAACCATACCCAGATCTCACTGGCAGTTAGTTATGGAAAAGTGATAGTGAATAAATCTAAGCATTCACACAACCTTTAAACAAAGATTACATCACTTTTCTGTTAACGAGGCAGGTTTCGTTAGCAGAGCCAACAATCACATTTGGTCCATTAAGCCAGAGGGGCCACAACAAACCGTTACAGTATTGATTCATAAATGTATCACTTATATCTCAATAACCACTCATGTAGTCTAAAAATGCAGCGCGCAATAAAAAGCCCTCATACGCAACCTGAGTGCAAAGTGACATCATCAAAAGTACTTTTCATGAGCAGCAGTCCAAAGAAATCCTGAAAGGTGATGAAATTTACATAGGATAAATTGTTGAATCTGTTTTTATATCTATTTAAGAAACATGATAAATGATTGTGAAATTGACAAAGTGCATTATGGGAATGTGACAGGAATGTGGAATTAGCATGTCCTCCAATCCATGAGACCACATAGGTCTTTTGTTGCTACTCTCAAATTAAGCGTTTTCCTGTTGCGTGAGCTAAAACCACTGAGGTACGCAAGTTAAAACCAATCAATGTGGACTGTTTTCACACGGCACCCTGACAGCGGTCTCCTAAGTGACAGTCATGCGTTTGTCGGACTCGTACACACACAGCAAACCAGTTCCTCTACCACTCATTCAACTACCTCATCCGACTTCCTCCTTTGCTCCCTTCATCACGACCCCGGCCACCCAACAGTAAACGTAAATAAGGGTTGTACGAATCACCTGTGAGGGTTTGAACTTGAGCTGCTCCAAGTTGTGCCTGGTCTGAAAAGCTCTGAAGACATATTGTACTGTTAGAATGTGTTTAAATGGTCCCAGCATAATGGTGTATCACACTACCCAGGGAGGTCTGTACCGGCACACATGAACAGCTGCTTTCTAAATGGATGTGGTGTTCAAACGGGTACATATAAAACAAACACACCCCTCGCGTTAACCCATTTTAATTGTGTCTGAGCCCCCACCCTACCCGTCGGCCCCCCACTCTAAAACAACCCAGGAACTAGTCGGTAAGGCACAGCGTCCGTGTAGCGCTTCCAGTCCTTCCCGTACTTGCTACCGCAGCGGTGCTCGTCGCGCACGCAGCGGTGTACCAGCAGGATGGTCATGTAAACGATGTAGAAGTACGGGAGGACGTGGCCGAAGCCGCAGGCGGCACAGTAGGCCAGCGAGCCCATGAGGTCGCCCGTGTAGTTGAGGTGGCGGGCCACTCCCCAGAAGCCGGAGGTCATGAGCTTGCTGCGGTGGACGCCGCCGTCGGCCGAGCGGTAGGAGCACTCGATGTACACCGGCTTCCTGCCCCAGATGGAGCACGAGCCCTCTGTGCGCCGGAACAGGTCCTTCTGGTGGTTGGTGGAGCGGAAGATGTAGTACCCGACCAGGCCGAGCAACAGCACCGCCAGGGCGTGGGGGGTGGACAGCTGGACCGGGTGGTACACCAGGTACAGACCCTGCAGAGCCCCGACAGATAGTTACTTACACCTGAGCGTGTACAACACGACACACACATTCAATGTCGTTTCATTATCATTGTGCAAGTTACACGCCAATTGATTTGCAGAAGTTACTTTATGTGCATGATGAGTATTTGATGAGACGCATACATAGACACAGCACACTAAAGGCCTACCTCTACCAGCTATAGATACAAGTTACACACGAGGCTGCTACCTAACATTTGACATGACGGCAGGTGTTGTGACGTGTGCGTTACCTGCAGTGTGTAGAGGTATGGCAACCACACACAGTCTCCCCAGCCCAGATACCAGCCAAAGTGGTCATGGCAGATATCAATGGTCTTCAAGTACCAAGCCTCATTCCAGAAGAAATCCAACACATAAATGGCCTACAAGAAAACAAAAGAATTCTTAATTTTTTAATGAGTCAACGACCAGCGTGTAAATAACAGTGTTTCCCCGACCATGAAATACATCGGAGATCTAATATTCTAAAGAGTTTCTTAAGTGCTGCAACATGTGTGAGAGTGAAATGTCTTATTCCGCCTCACCTGCAGCACGTTGACCAGCACCATGGAGTTGGTGACATGGCCGTAGAGCTCCTGCTGCTTGGCCATGTAGGACAGGTTGATGAGGGTCCAGGCCACGATGCCGGGCCGCCCGTTGAAGAAGAGCTTGAAGTCGAACCACTTGCCGACGCGCGGGTTGAACTCGATGCCCATCATGTAGTTGTAGAAGACGTTCCCTGTGAACTTGCTGCAGAATCAGCAACAAGTTGAGAGCTTGACGTTAACATTTTTCTCACCGGCCACTGTGGCTTTCCAAAGTTACTGTGATTTCCTTACAGTTTAATTTGATTAAAAGTGACTACGGTTTGCTACAATTTACTTGAAGAACTAGATTTACAATCCTTTCAAATGTAAATGACCATTGTTAAATAAGACTACATCAAATTAGCAGGTAGAGTCACCAAATCTTCATCTTAAGTGTGTAAAGCTCCTTTTGTATGAAAACATGTAACTCATTAACACAAAGAGAAAAAGAGCAGCTCATTGCTTATCAGTGTGCAGGGATGTAAAGCTCCGCCTTCATGAGGACCAAAATGCCTAAATGCAACCCTTTGTTGTCTTTGTCCGTTTAGTCGCAACGCTTTTGATACGACCAATTGAAACATCCACTACAAAAGAGACCGTCTTAACCTTTCACTGCCGTACAATCAGTAAAATACATTATTTTCTTGGCTCCTCCAGGTTTTCCTGCACCTGCTATGTGCCTCCACTTATGCTGAGCAGGTCTTCTCAAGTTGTACCAAAGGCCTCCACCGGTCACGTGTGTTGCTTAGTAACGAGCGTACGGTGGCCGAGAGGGTTTAACAGTCTTCTCAAGATGTGGCGTGAGAACCGGGTGACGGCGTAAGCGTAAAATAGTCGCGGCGGTCCGTGTCGGTGCACAAGAACCACCAATGTAACCGAGCGTTCCTGGATGATGATCTCATGACACATTACTAACCGCCGTTACACTACAATAAACATACAGAGAGAAATATGGAATTACACCCGCTTTACAACAGCATTTAGAGGGTGGGCGGGTGCTAATGTCAAGCCCTGGACGCATGGTCACGCCGCTACCCAGCATGCAGCTGGCTGTCTGATGTTCGGTTGCAAGGAAATTAATTATTTTAGATATTTGAAATTAGACCTGGCCCCAAAGCTCATCCAGGCTCAAGAAGAACTCGATGAGGATGGGACGAGAGGACCTGTACTCTGTGTTTATGTCATACATGTGAGGACGTCGGCCATATTATCGGCCTCGTGAATTGTTCTTGTTGCTACCGTTTACAACAAATTAAAACAACAGCACTGCAGGAATGCACTTGTGTTTCTTTTGTCGTAGATAGAACTGCATTCCATTGTGCATGCTGGTGTTGTGTGTGCATCAGCACTCACCAGTCCTCAGAGTTGGTGGGGAAGAGGTAGGCCTTAATGAAAGCGAAGCTGGACACAGCGTAGCCCAGGATGTTAGCGCACCACATCAGGGGGATCCAGTGGTCGAAGATGATGGTGGGAGGGAACCAGTGGAAATGTTGGGCGTTGGCGTACCACAGAGCGTGAGTGATCAGCCAACACTGCAGCCCGTTGATCTCGTACTTGTTAATCAGACCTGTGGAGCAGAACAGGGAGCCGACCACAGGAGGGCATTATGAGGCATAAGAATTGGTGTAATAAACAGGGGTGTGCGTGTGTTAATTACCAGCAGGAGTTCGTGCTCCATCCTGCACTCCACCCACGTAGCCAGGAATGAACTTGTGAGTCACATCAGGAACACACATGTACAGGAACAGCTGAGGAAAAGACGCAACAGCTGAAGACAAAGGACGGAATTGTAGCCAAACTTCTTCCTTCTCTACTATTCTTCCTCTTACCTGGAAGGCCACCCAGATGGTGTATATCTTGGCAGCTGACCAGGTGAAGGAGGGTGCCCGGGCCCAGATGGAGAGCAGGGTGGTGTCTCCTCGGAACAAGTCCAACAGCGGCTGGCTGACCGAGCACTGGTACTGGTCACAGGCCATCACGAAGTAGAAGACGATGAAGGGGGCGAAGCAGAGGAGGCCGATCACGCTGATCAGGGAGAACCAGTCCACCTCCCTGAGGGTGAATCAGATATGAGCACAGACAGTGTGTGACCGAGCAGAGCCGTCACTTTGAGTGTTAAATGGACCAACCTTGAGAGCAAATCAGTCACACCAACTCAGCTCAACTTTATGTCTAAACTCAGAGAGGTCCTAACCTTTCGAATGTCACTGGATAGTCAAATTAAGTGTTGGTGTTAACAATAAATGTGTCCTTAAGAATGAACTTTTTTAAACCCCTCTTCCCTTCACAGACACAGCCGAGAGGCCTCAGAGCTCCACACACACTCTTATCAGCACATGTATCAATCATGTAAGATAACGGGGGCGATTATGTGGCACTTGATGCAGTGTGTACTTTCACTCCTGACTCCCTGGCCTGCAACAGAAATACACTGTTACTTTGAAACTATGGATAGAACATTAGGTGATCAGTATGTCCTTCCAGCAGAACATTACATTTGTGCGAGGACACTACATGAAGATCATCCTATTCTATGCATTTCCTCCACTTTCTCTGCTGCTCTCTCAATGCCAATGTTTCAGATCGGGGCACGAATAGCTCATAACGTTTGGCAGGACTACAGAATAACTTTTTGCCAAGTTGCACTGGTGCGCCTTACTTTTTTATTTAGGTGCAGCAGCACAAAATGTAGGTGCATCCAAATGTTTCGCCTTTAACGCCACAATTTCAAGATCATTTTTTTATCACGCTGCATATACATTTATATATATTATGTAAATGATTTAAAACAAGAATAAGTTGTAGGTAATAGTTTTATTTGAAGCACAATTATACTGTATATAAAAATCGTAAATAATAAATAAAAAAATGTGCTTCACTGCTGCCAAACTAAAACATTTTACGGAAAATGAAACATTTCAAAAGTGCTTCCAATCACACACTCCTTTGTGGAAATGTCTGTCACCGTCAATCATAAATGACGTGTATGTGGAATTTGCGACGGCAACTGTGCATTTTTTTTTTAATATGTCGGCTATTACCCCAATAAAGTCATTGCTCTACGTCGGGTTCACGTTTAATCCATTTTTCTTCATGAGAACTATTCCTGATCTAAACTTTGTGAATGGCAGCTCTTCTTTTGAGGTTATAGGCGACGTTGAATTTAATTGTCATTTCGGATTCTTCCGAGGACCTGACAGCTGCTGCCTGCCGCTGAAACGTAGCCACGTATATACACACGTATCACGGCATGAAGTGCGGTTTTTGGAAATGTTGTTAACCCTTTCACAAATGCTCCCTGCCGTGCTCTGGCCACATGCTTTACAGTAAATGCACGGCCTTCTCTTCCTTGTCAAACCTTAAACCATGGGAACTGGTCTAACCACTCTTCCCGAAAGGAATATGTTATTTCCGTTTTATTTTGCGTCGCTGGCTCAGGCTCGGTAGACTCTACCTCCTGAGTCGGATGCCATCTCTGAGGAAGGACCATGGCGTGGGATTCACTGGTGGCTCCATGTCTGGGCTTTTGTCGGAGCATTGAGTGTTGGGGGGGGGAAAAGGCCTACTTTTTGTTTTAAAAAATATATTTATGGGTTAGGATATTTCTTGTCATTGTTCCTCGTCTCAGCTCTGACGTAACTGGTTCGCTGGTGTTCAGGTCGCAATTTCACTGACACAGCGCGGAGCAGCGTAGGCCTACAGGAATATCTGGACCATCAGAGGCCAAGACCCGCCGCATCTCTGTCTCTGATTGGTTCAGACCACGATACGATCCACCACGGGTGAGTTCCGTCAAAGCAGAACAAGCGCTTTGTTCGGCGAGGCAGCGGATGCGAGGACAGGTGCACCGGTGCGACCTGAGATTTTAGTTTTGGTCGCAGTAATTTGGTCAGTAATTTCGCCAGAATCCAAGGACCAGATGTCTACCCCTGAACAAGTGGTTCCAAAATGTTGCCCACGAGTCCTGCGTCAGCGTGGAGGTTTGAAGGGAAGCTTGACTTTGCGTCTACCAAGCGGTGAAACCGCAGACTCACCATGCTCTCCCCCACTGTGCCGGCTGCTGCTCAGATGTCTTCCCGTTGGCGCCGTTGCGGGTCCGTCTCCTCGAGGCCTCCATGGCCACCGCTCCGCTTATCTCTGATGAAGGGTCAAGCCATCGGGATTAGATTGGTTACGCAGCGGCCTGCTGTACTTTGTACACGGTTGGTTGGCGTCATTCATCACGTACACAATCAAAGGACACACTTCCATGCAGAACATCATCAAAGTTACTTTTCTTTTCTTTGTCAGAGATTCTGTGTCGTTTTGTGTGCAGCTTTTTGAAGTGAATGTGTTATATGCAGTTCCACAAGCCAGATATTGACACACACACACACACACACACACACACACGCGCGCGCGCTATACGAACAATGTGGTGATGGCTGCTATCTGAACCCGACATGTAGTTAATTAATGAGCTCAGACTAGTTCCAGCTACACATAATATAACAAGGTGGCAGTGTGTGTGTGTGTGTGTGTGTGTGTGTGTGTGTGTGTGTGTGTGTGTGTATATGTGTGTGGGGGGGGGGGGGCACCGTTACATAACGTATAAAGCCCCGTCCTGTCTTTTTTCTGGATTGGATGAGATGAATTTGAGCACTTGTTGCCTGTTGCACACTCGGTTTCTCGGCCACGACGTTAATGTTAAGTTTCGAAACGTTACACGCGCCATTTCCTTTGTACTTGGACCGTGTTACCTACATAGCAATACGTCTGAAGTACCGTAAACACACGTTATCCTGCACTGTAACAATGAATGTACCGGAGCTCACTCACCCGTTGATACCGGACCGACCGAAGGACGCAGGCTGCTGGTCTGCTCGTTCTCCGCGGCCCAGGTGCTCGTTATCAAGTGACGTTGACCGCTGGAAACTGCTGAGCTTCAGACTCCGCCCATAACACCACTGCACATTGGAATTCAGCCAATGGGGATCGTGCAAAGGCGGGCCCCAGGGAGGTGAACTGGCCTCTGATTGGGCGTTACTAACTGGAGACACCAGCGCCTCATGCATTGGCCAGTGGGTGAATGGTTAGAGAATAGTTGTCTTTATTGTCATGCCCTTGTGCATCCGAGATTTGTAATAAATTGTTATAATGTAATTATGATAATGATACATGCAAGAAATGTATGTTAGTAAAGTTATCACTTTAATGCATTAAATAGACAAGAGTGAATTAATTACAATGCTTCAAAAAGGACTGCAATGGACACACCCAACCAAATATTTTAGCAACATTTGTGTTTTGAACAAATGTTTGAACAAAAATTTTGAATAGTCTTATGATATCTTCAATGGCAAAACTTTTAAAAGTAACGTGAAATATAAAGTGTCACATATTTTTTGCAGTCATATATTCAATACATATGTATGTATGTGTGTACTTTTACAATGTCTCACAATATGTTGACAATTTTATAGAATTTCAGTTGATTCAAGATATAATTTCAGAAATGTCAAAATCAAGGCTCACCAAAACTAGGAGGATTCAACATCATCAATACAGAGGCGGAACATAAACTAACCGTTAACAGAGCCCAACAAAATGTTCAATATGGGCCAAAAATGTGGAACTTTTCAGTTCTGGTGCAGGACAATACATATCTCTTGTGTAACCTGAACTACATTAAGATCATATTTCCAATTACAATAAACTATAACATGATTGTCTCAGCTTGACACAATGGTATAGTGTCCTTTCTTGATCATTTACTTAAGATATCCTTTTATGTTCTTCCCAAAAAAATAAATCTGCCCAATGATACCGAGACATGATAGATAAAATCTGCTGCACTTGAAATTGAAATGACCCTGTCTTCGCCAGTGCATGTTCGGCAAATGTGCACCAGAGGGCAGTACTCAGCTGTGACCCGGACAGGCAACTTAGGAGGGGAAAGATAACACCGTTCACGTTAAGTGGATAAAAGCTATAAAACTGCTTTACGATGCTGAATCACCACCTCTGTTCTAACCTCCTAACTATCCACAGAGCTCAGATGTGGGACGGTGTGCAAAATCAGACACTGCACATTACTTGCTCTTGATGTGTGATTACAGCCGTCTCTGAATGTTCATGAGTTCATGTTTTTACTTTTTAGGGACAGTTTGAAATACATAATATATTACAGCGTGTTTACAGGTTTGATGTATCTCATCAAATCAAAAACCAAAAGTACTGTTTACTGTTTGTGATCTAAATATGGTTTTGTTATTCTTTTGTATTGTACTAATATCATTACTACTATTACTATTAGTAATACTATACTAATACTATTAATAATAATAATACTATACTATTCTACTATAGTATTATTATTACTATTACTACTAATTATATTTTAAGTACTAATATATCTTTGCATGGCTCCAACAATGGAGAGCCCATTTGACCCCCCCTCGCTATAATGATGATGGTCCATTGCAGTGTTGCAATAATAAAAAAGGAGATCAGTTGGACCAAGAGCAGGAAAAAAAATGAAAAGCCTCTAAGCTCTGGTTTTCTTGTAATATTTATATTGCTGTGAGGTGGAGACAGATAACAGCGTACAGATAAGAAGTGCCAATCTGACCTCAATTCAGAACAGTACACCAAGTGTTGTATTTCCTCTTCAAATGGTGATTCAAATCTGGAACAATGTCAAGATAATAGTCTTCCAAAGGTCATCATCCAAATGTTCCTTTGAAAACAACAATTCTGCTCCGTATCTACCAAAACAATATTAGAAGAAAATAAATATCATAAATAGAAAAGTGAGAAAAAAATGTAAGTACCCACTAACCACATCAGAGTGAGATATCATATTTAAAAAAGAAAGACACCGCGAGGGGAGAACCCTGTTTATTTTTATGTCCACCTCTGGAATGTGTTGTAATGTGAACAGTCGATTAGCGGTGTTCCTCTCTGCATACCGGCTCTAATGTTGGAGTCAGATAAATTCCGGTCTTATTTCTTGTTGCTTTTTGCACCGCGTTGGACATTCCAGTATTGTATTACTTCATGTAATCACCCCTGAACACACTTCCTCTGAAACTCCTGAAGAATACGTTATTTTAAGTTCATTTCATTCATCACAGAAGGAGATTTCTTCTGCTGAGACAAGAAGAAGAACATAACCCAGCTTTGCTTATTCTCCACAAAAAGATGGTTTCCTTGAGAAGAACTCCCTCCACAGCATCTTCTTGCATCATCAACCGACCTCCATCTGTCTTTGACGTCTCTTTGAAACACTCTTCCCCTTCTCTGTTAATCCCTTTCCTGTTTCCCTCTGTGACGCTCCTTGTTTTGGATTTCTCGCCGTCTGTGGTTCTTCATTCCTCATTCCGGTTCCCTCAGTTCCTTGCTCTCTTTAATAGTCTTTGATCAGATGCCTTGCTGCCATGCTGTATCCAGACAGTGTGATGTATCTGGGCCAAGCAGCAGACATCACAGCTTCACAGCGCGTCTGAGACAAAGACGAGTGCTGCTTGTTTTTGTTACCTCGGGAAATGCACCCAGCTACGTACGTTGGATTCAGTGATGATTCAAACGTTCTAATCTTAATGTGGTGCTAAGGCCTTTTCATGAAGTGAGCTAGCAAGAGCATATAGAGCACAGTACAAGTGATAATCCGACTGGAACGCAGCCAATTTGACTTGCCCTTTGCAAAGATAAAGTCCCATGAAATTAGGTCGTCTCAATCCCGACCTGTCAGTACTGACTGACACCTCAGCACCGCGCTTCCAACATGTAAACCCACCAGCACAACGATGCTTGGAGCAACTGCATGGTGAGAACACGGGGCAGCAGTGACGGAGGTGGATCAGACCGCCGTTCATGTTCCACGCCAAAACAAAAGCCAACGTTGACCTTGTTTCACACGAGTCGTAACTCTGCAGCCATGTGAAGCGTTGCACAAGCTGCAGAACGCAACACTATTGAGCCAAATGTGTCTACTGTATTTGTTTATCATGCATGTATATCTGTCTGTTTGTTGTTGTGATAGTCAGGTGTCTCTTTCCAACACAAGCCCCAAAATGGAGTCGTCATACGGCGCCTATGTGATATTCTCAAAGCAAATGGGTCAAAACAAAAGAAGTCCGGAGAGGGCTGCGTGCTCTGTGTGTGCAAGTGGATATTTGTGTGATCAACACAGGAAGAGCGGGCGCTGCCTGTGTGTGTGTGTTTGCATTGCACATATGTGGGTGGGGTGGGGTTGGGTTGGGGGGGGGCGAGGGGGGCTAGTTGCATGACAAATCTCACTCTAATCAGCTCCCCTGGGGCAGTGCAATGTGTCGGCATTCATATTAGCATGTGTGTGGGCCTACAATATTCGGAATTTGTGAATACTGTGTAGAAGGGTGTTGCCATGTCTGTATCGGTGTGTGCGTGTCCCACAGTCGGGTGTTTAACTGTCTTATTTCTACGAGGACCCAGTGCAGTATCAAAGACCCAGTGCAACATGGTTCTTAAATAATTTAATAAAAATGAAAGTAAAAAATTAATGAGAGCAGAACCTCCCTCCTGCTGTCCTGATGTAAATGCCCCCCCCCCCCCCCCCAATAATGTAGTCCCTGTGTGGGAGACCATGTTGACAGGAAGTACTGAAACCCAAACACAGAGCATCTCATGGGGCCTTCAGAAAGCAGCCCAGATGGGCGCCATGATGAGTCAGCTCACGATGATTTATTCAGATTAAATACATTCCAACAGGGAGGACCTTTAATTACAGCTCAGGATGTTTGCAAACAGTGAATCATACACAGATGACCTGTTTCTTCTTCATTTTCACCAATTCTCTACAGCAGGCTTGGTATGTGTTGGGTCCCAGAATGGAGAGAAAGCAGCAGATATGTGGCCCGAGTAACTAAGCTAGAGGGAGACCACACGGTCGTTGTTATGCGAGCAGCTGAGGGACATTTATCCCAAGAGGCACAATGAAATGCATTTACACAACTGTATGTTCCTTTGACGGAAAGGTTGGAAGTTAAGGGAGGTACATGGAATACTTTATTGGAAGGAAAGACATCTCCTTTTTGATGACACTTTAAGAGGATGTATTGAATATTGTATGAAATGATGTGTTAGTGATCGGGGTTTATGTCGAATAATTCTGTTACATGCAAATGTGACAGGACTATGGTGGCTAATGACGCATCTCCAAATCTGAAATATTAGATGGGACTCGACTGCTATTGAGGAAGAAGTTAATACAAGAGAGTGACCGGTAAGCTGGTGAGGGGAATTTGTGTGTCCTGGTGTGTGTACGTGTGGCTGTGTGTGTTTTTTTTGCACAACAGGTACCGTGAATCAGTGAAAAACTAACACTCACAACAAAAGCAAGCAACAAAGTCAGCAATAGACAAAACAAGCTGTGAGGAGTGTGCGATGCACATCGGGGCACATGCTGTAAAGTACAGTGGGACATATATATGGAATAATGTATACCAATATTTATTTAATATATAATAACAAACACATCCTTCTCAGATGGTGCGTCTGTGCAGAGTATGAATCAGTATGAACACACTGTGTGTGTCCATCCGACACACGGATGCCTTTGTGTGTGTGTTTCCGCTAAGCACATTGTAAGCGCGTCTGTGTCTATGTGCGTTTGCGAGAGGACGTCTGCGCGTGTGTGTGTGTGTGTGTGTGTGTGTGTGTGTGTTCGGTCTGTGAATAGCGTCAGTAACTGGGGCAGAACTGATTGGTGGCTGATGGGCTGTAGGCAAGCGCAGACCCTACATTTCTGCTCCCGCCATACAGAGGGGATGAACGGAGGTTGTAGCAGGGGGAGGGGGGGGGGAAGAGGTGTGGTATGGAATGGAATGCGGGGTCTCTCCTGTACTGTCTCCTCCGTGGCGACCTCCCACCCCCCTTCTGCTGGCCGCTGCCATCTCCCGCTGGTGTCTCCTCTACTGGGCACGTTCCTTTACTCCGTCTGGTCCTGACACTTGACAGCCGCAGAGACTTACTCAGCACACAGAGGACGGGGGGGGTCGGGGGAGGGGAGCGGTGAGCAAAGGGTCATTCCTATAAGAATGCTCCACTGTCAATGGCAAATGTCTTTTGCCAACATGGAAGAGTTGAGTCCACAAACTGCTGGTTCAGGTTGCATTGACCTTCCTGTGTCTTATAGTCACGTTTATGAATTCAACCAAAGTCGTAACTCATCAGTAACCAGTCAAAGTTAACGATATCGGACCGTGAGGGATCAATGTGGTTTTGACTGGAAAAAGTCTGCTTACCTGCTTGTCTACAATCTGCTTTCCGAGTATCTCGCTGACAAATGCAAATCAGCAGCGGTGACACCGGCACCACGTTCACATTTATCTGCTCTCCGTTGTGTTGGGAACTGCTCACATCTGCTTTTGGGCAACATCAGTTGCTCAAGTTCTGCTGCTTCCTCTCAAAAGAAACGCCTAGTCAGCAGATTCTACCGTCAGCTGATATCTGACCCACGACCCCATCCAGGGACGGGGACAGAGTTCACCGCTCCACTGAGCTTCGACCTGCTCTCACTCCAAAATACATTGAGGAATGACATGAATTCTAAGAACATTCAACACTTGACAAGAATTGTATGTATTACTTTGCTAATGCATGAGTCAAAATAATCAGAAAATGTTCAAATAAAACATATTATTTGAATTATTGACAAACACTGAGACTCAATTTTGTCTATAACACACGGCTACTGGCTGAGAGGACGGCTTTCAGGTGGTAGAAAGTCTTTCTTCTATGTTATTTTGTATTACGGGTTTGATTTACACATGGAGAACACAGCGCTGTCCAATGTCCACACTGATCACCAACAAAGTGCAGGAAGAGACAAAGATCCCATTGAGTAACAGTTCAATGAGAATCAAAGAAATGATTGGTTAAAGCTTTACATCACAAGCTGCAGACCTCGATAGGAACAGCTCCTTGTTTTAGCGTTGAGAGCCACAATACCTACGAGACGCATGAATGTTAACAGGTGTGTTGCTTCAGCAAAGCCATTCTTTAAACGTCAGACTAGAAATAGAAAGTTAGATTGGGGATATCAGCTGAACATATTACGGAGTGTCGGATCACACCGTTTGAATCTGCGTCAGTAACCAGTAGAATAAAGAGAGCCCGAAAAAGAACAGCTTGCCAAAACATTTAGAGACAAATTTGCACAACAGTATTTTTTCCTGTCATACAACATTGTTGGGACATTGAGAGATGAAGACAGATGCATTTAGTGTGGCGATTTAGACCCTTTGAAGCGCTTTGCGCCAAATCTTGAAGAATTTGTTTAAAAATGAGGAAGGCAGATGCTTTCTCTGCTGATGTGACTAGTCTCTTTTTTTAGACGCCCATCTCCTGAAACGAAACACGTTCATCATCAGTCGCTTGCGTGAAAGGCGTCTGTTCTTTTAAGCTGAGCTGGCCATCGCTGGAGTGAAACACGTGTTGTTTGCGATGGTCTTTGTACATGTTCCCATAGACATCTATTACATCGTTTTCTAGCTACTGTTTCATATGGAGTTATTGGGAGCATTTATTATCTGTCATGACAGGGTGATGATGGGTGAACAGACAGATTCACACACACCAGCACATCACAAAGACTACGAACTACAGCCGGGTTTCACTTCCTGAAGGTGGGTCCAGTGTGCGACATTTGGAACAATCGTGAATGTGTTTTCACACCACTGTCATCGTTTATTCATGACCCTAACCGCTTCATTCCAGCCCGCCGTGTGGACAATGTTTTTGTACTGTAATGACTGTATTTACTCACGTTTCTCATCATGTGCACTGATTGACGCCGTACAACCAATCAGAGGGGTTTCACTCACACATGCTCGCCAACAGCCCGACTTAAAAGGCATACGAACAATTAAATCACTATTAGAGACAGTCCGCCGACACTTTCATGTATCGGGATTACTTTTTGAAATCATTTGTTAAACAATTAGAGATTCAACCATTTTGGAAGAAGAAATTGGTCACAAATATCTGAACAAAAAATCAAATCCTAAATGTCAGTGACACAAAGAAGTTCGATTGTTGGTCCACTTCTTATTATGTTACAGGCTCAATACCAAAAGGATACTAGATAAGAATGCGTCAGGCCGCTGCGTATGAGGCTTCTCTAAATAGAAACCAGGTCCACACTGAGGAATGCAGTAAAACCCGGCTGGATTCTGTCACTTCAACCTACTCAGCTGTTCATATTGCTGCTCTTGTTGACGTGTGTTTTCCTTCTGCACTGATCGGACCGCTGTCAGGAAAGACTGAACACGTGCGCCTCAGTCTGCTGCCGAGTCCACGGGAACGGGTGGTGTGTGTGTGTGTGTGTGTGTGTGTGTATGTGTGTGTGTGTGAACCAACTGTGTACAGGACACACTTAAACTCACAGGAAGAGAGCTAAGACAAGAAAAACACAGCCTATGTGATATCTATGACATCCTTCCCTCTGTCAAGGTCGCCAGAGAGGACCAAGGTAGCAACGTGAATGCTCACATACAGTGCACATATGGTGTTCACACACACACACACACACTGGAGATCACCTGACCGTGTTTTTTCCTGTATCCATATGAGGTCTTTCTCAGGAAGGAAAAACATGGCATAAGCATAGAGATGAGCATCTGTGTGTGTTTGTGTGAATATTAGTGCCTATATAAACCTTTGTTGTGTGTCTGTTGTCACCTGCAGTCTAAAGATAATATTTCCACTTATTCAGAGTACACTTCATGACGTCTGGCATCCAGACAAAGACTATGGAATCCCTCCAGAATGAAGCTATCACGTGAGAGTGGCATCTGCCTGAATAGCAGATCCCATCTCTCCATTGCGGTCTAGTTTCACGGCACTTCCCCCTGACAGGAATATCCAGAGCGCTGTGACCCCTGACCCTTGAACCATCATTCTGGCCGCTTACAGTATCATGTTACTGGAATGCTCTGCAACGCAAGTAAAGTGCACGCTGCGTACCGACACAGGATACCTGCACGTTTTCCTGACGCCAAAGGCCCGTATACACAACCGTGTGCTGGCATTCTTCACTCTCCAAACCAAATGAACCATCAGAATTAAATGTGCACACGTTCACGTGTTTCTGGATTTAATTAGACAAATGGAAATCCATGACAAGGATTTTCCGACTGTTTATTAGAAGTAGGCTTTTTTACTTTGACTGATGACTGAGGAAAGGCCGCCCCCTATTTGGAGCAGGTGGCCTTTACACCTACAGCCGAAATGAATGAACACAACTGAGTGCAAAATTGAAAAAAAACGGAAATTGAAAACAGGGGGAGTCAAGGCAAACATATTTCAGTAACTCTGCCCACTGTGAATTTTCATCCAAACTGGTGGATGAGTCTCAAGGAATTCTATTTTCCACCTCAAGAAGCCAGATAGTTGTAGCAACTTGTTTTTTTTTTAAAGAACAGTCTTTAAGGTCGTAATACATTTAAAAAAGAAAAAGTGATCCTTCGGGGTCATCGGGCCCTTCCAACACACGCACGCACTCCTCCGGTAGCTACATTTAACATTTGACATGTACGTGTTCCTGGCTGCTGAGCCCACCGCCTCTGCGCCAATCACAGCCTGCCTTTAACCTGCGCACACGCACGCACGCACGGAAAGCATAGAAACACACCCTGACACACACGGCGATCCATCGCTCCGGTTCTCCTCACACCTTCTCATGCGCCCCCGCCGGTACCGCGCAGCGCTCCGTGCGCCAAGATGAGCGGCCGCTCCGGAGCCATCTGAACACCCCACTGCACGCCGAGAGGGGGGAGAGAGAGCAGGAGGGAGAGAGAGAGGGAGAGAGAGACGCGAGAGAGAGAGAGACGCGAGAGAGAGAGAGGGAGAGAGAGAGGGAGAGAGAACCGTCTCCTCTCACAACCTATCCTCCGTTTCGTTCTGGACGAGACCGCAGCGCGAGCCGTTTCTTTCGGCATCTTTTCTTTCAGCCGACCCCCCCCCCCTCTTCGTTATTGTTGGTCTCTTGGTTAAAAGGAGAAAGCGGTGAGCCCGGTCGTGATTTTTTTTTTTTTGGGGGGTGGAAATACATTTTGGCATTTGTTTTATTTTTTATTTCTTGCTGAGTGTGGGTAGCGCGCTGTTTGTGCGCGCTTGTGCAAATTCCGGTGAATGGTGGATTTGGCAAACATGGAGACCGTGGAGAAGGAATGCGGGGCCCTCGGGGGTCTATTCCAGGCGATTGTCAACGACATGAAGGTAAATAAAAGCTTGTGCGTTTATTTGGATTTGTTTTGGTGAGATTTCTCAGGGTCCGTGCTCGTGGTTAGAGCGAATCACACCCTCTAACCAGAACGCGCACGCGGACTGCTCCTTTCGCAGCGACACGCTCGCGCCGATCGCATATGATCGTCAGCGTGGAGGGGGCGAACCGGTAAAACTGACAATCGTACAACTGCTGTGGTTGCGACCCCCACCCCCCTCAAAATATTATCTGCGCATGTAAACGTAATCTGTTATCTGACACATTTGACTGCGCCCCCCCTCGCTCCCCTCCCCTCCCCACCGCCCCGCAAACACAGGATGACAAAACGGCCCACAAAGGTTTGACAATGCTTCGGCCCGCCGTCAGGAGCCGCGCGTCGCCGGGTCCGGTTGAATGGGCCCTAAGCCGCCGGAGCGCATACAGTGCGCAGAGGGTCAGATGAGCCCACGGGTTCATGGACGCACACATTGGTCATAGGACGCATTCCGTTACACACGCGTGCATGCAGACCTGGGTGGGTGGGAAATGCTTCATCATCATCATCATCATCATCATCATCACCGCCGTCATCTCCGTCGCATTGTTTTTTTCTTCATTGAAAACACACACAGACACGACGACCATCGCATGTTCCGGGTCGTTTTTTTGGTGTTACTGTGCGTCTCCATGAGAGTGCCGCGTCATTGATTTTCTGTCAGGCCGATCCGGCAGGAAAACATGAAGGCGTGAGAAGCCTCGCAGCCGTCAGACACCCAGCCTGTCTGTCTGTCTGTCTGTCTGCCTGTCTGATGGTCCGTCTGTCTGTCAGTCTGTGGCTTCGCTGGTTGCACCCGTGGAGGCGCTGTGGATGGAAGCATCCCTCTCACTGGCTCACGGTGCAGGCTGTGTCAGTGTGTCTGCCTGTTAGACGCCCATGCAGCTCTGCATGCCTGTCTGTCTGTCTGTCTGTCCGTCTCCCTCTTTGTCTCCCGTTATACCTATCCAAGATGCATTATCAATTCCCCTGCAAGTCTGCACATTGTGTGAGTCTTCTGTATGACCCCGGATGGTAGAGGTCAGGGAGAGATTATTGGTCTGCTGTGCATGTGTGGGCACGTAAGTGATGTGTGATCCTGGATATCATACTAGTCCAACATGTAATGTATTACCCAAGAATACTACGCAAAAAGCCAGTGTGTTACCTTGTAAAATGACCTGAATAAAGAATAAATATAATTAATCGGGGTCATTAAAGGTGCATTCCAGTGATTTACTTTTTCAAATAGAATCGCAAACAGAAAATTAAAATGTCTAAATGCAGTCTTCAGAGTATGGATGTTTATTTACTTTGTGGCGGCAATGAAAATCATTACATGATAACAGACTTGCTAAGATGCTCATCCCTCTGGAAACCATTCAGGGTTTGTTGCATAGCAACATCAGCACCTATGACGCAGCATCTGTACTGTTTGTTGACAGGGTGCATAGATGAAGGTATAAAGCAGGATGCCAGAGACTTTCTCTAGTACGTGTTCACATGAAGTGGCGGCTCGTATGCTTTTTGTCCAGTGATCCCACACGGCAAAGGACCAGTGTTTGCTGTGCTGGTCCTTTGAATAGGTCAGAGCAGCGTGGTGTCTCATTGTAGTTTAAAGAAAGCTTTGGTTTCAGCTGACACTCCTCCCAGAATGATCCCCAAACATAAATATCTCCCAAACTCCAAGAAGTTATAACGCAGTATTCGTCTCTACATCGTTCTTCTGTTGTTCTCCTACACTTTGGGGGAAATACCCCTTTAAAGTCATGTTGCCTCTTCTTCTCCTCCCTCTGTTTTCATCGATTTATTCATGAGGTATCAAATGCTCCTCTTGTTTATGTCACGCACTCACTCTGATATACAGTATGTGGGTCACTACAACTTGGGCCAAAAAGCCCCACTGCCCTGTCTCAATTCCCCGAATGCCCAAGCAGGCAGTGAATAAACATGAGTGAGTGGATACGAATCATTAAGTGATCGGCCCTCAAACGCACTCACCAGGAAACAATGTGCACTGATCAATAAAGAAGATGCCATTTGTCAGAAGGAACAGTGGATTAATCGTTTTTCCTAAAAAAGGTTATTTTATGTTAATAGCTTTGGTTATTAAGTGGAAGACTTGTGGAAATGAGACAGTGACTGCAGAGGAGACATCTTTGATCTCCTCTAGCTGTTGGAGTCCACATTCTCCATGTCTATATGCACCATGTTCACTCAAAGGCAACAAAAGGATATGCAGAACACGTGTAATTACTTGAGGAGAAAAATGAGGAGCAATATTGAGATTTCTTTCAAGGAGTGTGTAAGCCAGGAATTAATGTAATGTGGAAGCAAAATAATGAAAAGTGGGACCCATTAACTGCTCAGTTGATTGACAATGAATGTATCTGCAAAGTTTTGATTCTCCAGACGCTATAAAGTGTAATCTTATACAGCTTTTTTTTGTCAAATATGGCTGAACATTCGGAAAGACAAAACCAGCAATTTCAATAATGCATAGGTGTTTTCAATAATAGATCTTTCCGATAATTTCTAGGCAGAATATTGAATCAATTAGTTGAGAAAATAATCTTCAGAATGACTGACGATGAGATTACGTTGTTAGCTGACCTAGAAGTGAATCAAATCAGGTTAATTAATACATTTCATTTAATTATTAGGCAACTAGATTTATTTATTTTACTAGAAGGCCCCTGTGAATGTGTTCTCATGGTGCTTTTAGGTGTCATGACTCATGCACATGCTCTGCTGAATGCTGCTGTCTGCCGATGTCAGCACAATCTATCCAAGCTGTTTTGAAACCACTTTTTCTTCCTCTTTCTCCATCGTCTTCCCTTTCCTCCTCCTGCTCCTCCGGCTCCTCCCTTCCTCTTCACATCCTCAGCGGATCCTCCACCCAATGCAGCCTCTGTCGCTCTGTGTGTCTGTGTGTGTCTGCAATGTGTGTCCCTGGATGCTATATCTCGCAACTCTCCAGTGAATTACACACCCCCACACACGCTCACGCACACAGGTCACAGGTCAGAGAGGGGTAATATGATGAGACGAAGAGGTCACGTTCACGGTCAGCCGCTCATACGGACCAGTGGCTATTGGGTATTTGTCATATTTACTCGACAGACTAAGACGCAATTACGAAGAAAATGATTTCCTGGTCCTTTAAGAAACAGTAGTGAGCCTGATTTGACCTTGTTCCATTAGAGATAACAGTATCGGCCTGAGAAAACCCACATTTTCCCAAAAAGTCCCACTTATATACAATATACCAAAATAACAAATTTATAGCACCTGCATATGCATATAGGCTGATTATTATGGCCATAGATTATATGTAGTTAAAATACAGCAGGCACTGCATATAAATGGTAAATGGCCTGTACTTGTATAGCGCTTTTCTAGTCTTCTGACCACTCAAAGCGCTTTAACACTACATGACATCATTCACCCATTCACACCCATTCACACACTGATGACAGGAGAACCATACACAGCGACACCTGCCATCAGCAACTACCATTCATACACTGTAGTCGCAGCTACAGGAGCAATGTTGGGTTAAGTGTCTTGCCCAAGGACACAACGACATGCGGGTTAGCCGGGCCTGGGATCGAACCCACAACCCTCTGATGGGAGGACGACCGTGCTCCCCTCTCACCCACAGTCGCCCATCAAAGGGGACATATCATTTAAAAGTCACTTTTGTTCCTGTGAGTTTTTTGTGGATCAGTAAACAGAGGATTCAACCAAACACATGTGACTCAACAAGCCATTCAGCTGTGGCCATTAGAATGTAGTGCCTTCACCTGTGCGCCTCCACCCACGGCCTGAGAGCCACCGCCCTATTTTCAGCAAACCAATCAGAGCATCCATCCATCCATCTTCACACCACTTATCCTGCGCACAGGGTCGCGGGGGGGCTGGAGTCCATCCCAGCCAACTTCGGGCGATAGACAGGGTACATCCTGGATTGGTCGCCAGCCAATCGCAGGGCTACACAGAGACATACAACCATTCACACTCACATTCATTCTACGGGCAATTTAAAGTCCCCAATCAGCCTGATCCCCAGAGCATGTCTTTGGACTGTGGGAGGAAGCCGGAGAACCCGGAGAGAACCCACGCAGACACGGGGAGAACATGCAGGCTCCACACAGAAAGGCCACTGGGCGGAGTGGAACCCAGGACCTTCTTGCTGTGAGGCATCAGCGCTAACCACCAATCAGAGCAGATTGAGCTAAATTTTCTATACGTCTCTTACGGTTATCTTATCCTACAGAACTGGTCTACCCTTATATATCTATATCATTTCGGTCTCCTTTACAATTGCCCTGTGTTCTCTGTATTGCGCACGGCAGACTTCAGCCCCACACCCACAGACCATTGCAAGCACACACACACTCGCACAGGTGAGCACACGCCCACTACCGGATAGATAGCGTGAGTAGGAAAACATTCCGGTGTCTGTCTGTCCGTAAATTCCCAAAGCCATAAGGAGAGTGGAGATATTGATTGAACAGTTTGAATTCCAGCATCAAGTATCACATAAGGTTGGAAAATATAGCGAAATATGAATATTTGAGAAGCTGGGGACGGATTCTAATTTGACGTTTGCACTTAAAATATCCTAATATCAATCAATTGATTGCGAAAAAGGATTTTGACTAAACAATTACTCTCCTAAAACTGAGTGAGTGACAACTAATCTGTATTTACAAAGTGTCACTCACTGTAAAATGCACTGAAAAGCTTTACTTTAGAAATTGGTGAAGTGGTGAATTGTGTTTTTGTTCAACTTGCACAAGCAAATTCCATTAGTGGAAACAAAGTCTGAGGCTTGTCTGCCTGCTCATTACATAAAGTAGAAAGCGTGAAAACAACAAGCAATCCGGGAGAACTGGCTGTGATCTGGTCAGTGTCTTCACTGAGACTGCCCTTTGAAAACCCTGTGACAATTATGTCCCATGATTCTGGGCCGTG